AGATTAATGAGGGCAGAGCGGTAGACATTATTTACTTGGACTTTAGTGAAGCTTTTGACAAGGTTCCGCATGGTAGTCAAGTTAGATCACATGGGAATTAGGGTGTGTTTGCCAATTGGATACAAAATTGAGTTAATGGCAGGAGACAGAGTGATGGTGGTGTGTTTTTCAGACAGGAGGCCTGTTACCAGCAGTGTTCCACAGGGATCAGTACTGAATCCACTTTTGTTTGCCATTTATATAAATGATTTGGATGACACTATAGGAGGCATGGTTAGCAAGTTTGCGGATGACACCAAAATTGGTGGTATAGTGGACAGTGAAGAAGGTTATCTCAGATTACAAAGAGATTTTGATCAATGAGATAAATAGGCTGAGGAGTGGCGGATGGAGTTTAATTTGAATAAATGCAAGGTATTGCATTCTGGTAAAACAAATAAGGGCAGAACTTAAATTTAATTTAGGACCTTGGGTAGAGCTGTATAAGAAAGAGACCGAGGGGTTCAGGTATACAATTCTTTGAAGTTTGCATCACATATAGAAAGAGTGGTTAAGAAGGTGTTTAGCATGCTTGCCTTCATTGCTCAGACTTCTGAGTATAGGAGTTGGGATGTCATGTTGAGGTTATACAGGGCATTGGGGAGGCTTCTTTTGGAATACTGTGTCTAGATACGGTTGCCCTGTTAAAGGAAAGATATTATTTAGCTGGAGAGGGTTCAGAAGAGATTTACCAGGATGTTGCTGGGAATGGAGGGTTTAAGTTATAAGGAGAGACTGGATAGGTTGGGACCTTTTTTTAACTGGAGTGTAGGAGGTTGAAGGGTGACCTTACAGAGGTTTATAAAATCATAGGCAGATGTCTTTTTCCTAGGGTGGGGGATTTCAGGGCTAGGGAGCATATTTTTAAGGTGAGAGGAGAAAGATTTAAAAAAAAATGAGGAGCAACATTTTTTACACAGAGTGGTTCATGTGTGGAATAAACTTACAGAGGAAGTGGTGGATGTGGGTATAGTTATAACATTTAAACGACATTGGATAAGAATATGAATAAGGAATGTTCGGAGGGAAATAGGCCAAGTACAGGCAGATGGGACTAATATACTATGGGATTATGGTTGGTTTGGACTGGTTAGATTGAAGGGTCTGTTTCTGTGCGGTATGACTCTATGGCAATATGGCTCCAACTTATCTTGTATCATACTTAAGTGCTTATTTTCTAATTGTCATCTTAGATAAAGTGGGTTGAGAGGATATAATAATGAAGCCTGAAGGTGTCTTCAATCAGCACCCTTACTCATGCTCTTTCCAGATTTCATTCTGGATGGCGATCAGGATTTGTACAGAACATGGGTTGATTTTTCAAAAAGCTGTGAGAAGCCTGTAGCCCAGGTTGAGGTTGAAATCATTGACTGGATTTCTTTCTATTTTCATTTCATGAGTTCTGTTGAGTGATATTCATAATGTCCAGTCTGCCATGGCTCACATCAACTTTCCTCATTTAATTTTTGCTCTTCCTCTCATTAATCTTGGAACCAGGTTGGGCATCTTTGATCTTGCCACTGCCAGGGCATTCAGCATTTATGTTGTTGGTGCCATACTTGAAGTCCAGCTGCACCCGCACAAGCGCTACAAGCCAGGAACTGCCCCTCACACCTTAGAGCTTGATTGATATCACTGAGGAAATGGGTCCGAAGAAAGGAAAGCTCACTTCCTACGACATGGGCAAGCATCTAGAGGTGCTGATACACACATCTCACCAAGCTCAAGGACTACAGCTCTCACTATTGTCCACTCAACGGCTTTCATGCACCTTATTCTCCCAAACTACTAATGCTCTCTGTTTCCATAATTTTCCATAGAATCCCTACAGTGTGGAAATAGTTTGGCCTAACAAGTCCACACAGACCCTCAGGGTATCCCACCCAGACCTATCCCTCTATTACCCACCTAATCTACACATCCCTGAACACTATGTTCTATGCTTCCTACTCACTAACAGGGCATATCTCACCATGTCCCCTACTCCTGCATCATCACTAACATTGGCTGACATGGACTGATGTAATCCATGGACTCGTTGCACTGGTTATGTTAAACTTACATCAGACACTAGTTGGAGCTAAGCTGGAGAACTGTGTACAGTCTGGACATCATACGAGGAAAGATGTGAACATATTGAGGAAAGTGCAGAAGTGGTTTATGACTGCCCTGACATCATGTTACCATTTGACTGAGTGTGGCATCAGGGAATCCTCAGGAATTGAAGACAATGGAAATAGGGGGACAGTCAGGCTTATCACGAAAGAGGATGGTTGAGGTTGTTGGAGGCCAATCACCTCAGCACTGAGATAATGCTGCAGGAGTACCTCAGCATAGTATCCCATTACTGCTTCATCAGCTGTTTCATCCTTGACATTGCCTTTAAAATAAGATCAGAAATATTGATGTTCACTGATAAATACAAAGCACTCAGTACCGTTCACAATTCCTCAGACATTGAAATAACCCTTGATTATATGCAGCAAGACCTGGACTACATTTAGACTTAGGCTGATAAATGGCAAGTAATGTTTGAACTCAAATTTGGCAGGCATTGACAATATTTAAGAAAACAGAATCTGTGCTTGACATTCAACAGTATTACCATGAACAAAACCTCCGTCGTCAACATCCGAAGAGATGAAACTTTGAAACTTAACTGAAACAACCATATAAGTATGGTGACTATAAGAGCAGGTCAGAGGCTGGAACTCATTCAGTGAGTAACTGGACCTTCTGACTTCTCAAAGTCTGTCCACAATATACAAGAGTGCAAGGAAGTACCCTCCACTTGCCTGATGAGTGAATTACCAGCAACACTCAAGAAGCTCATCACCATGTAAGAAATGGCAGCCTGCTTGATTGATAAGCCAGCTATTACCGTAAACACTCACTGTCTCCACCACCAACACATGATGGTAGAACGATCTATATGATGCACAGTAGCAACTCACCAAGACTCCTTTCAAACATGCAAACTCTATAATCTGGGAGGACAAGGGAAGAGAACCACCTGTACGTTCTCCTACAGGTCTCTCACTATCTTGGCTATATTGTCATTCCTTCTCAGTCACTGGGTTCTAATTGGTAAACCCATTCCTAACAATTCTGTGGATGTTACCAACCCTTTAACGTGGCAGTGATTGAAAAAGTAGGCTGACCACCACCTTCTCTATGGTAATGATACATGGGGAAGAACTATGATCTAATCACCATTCCCAGAACCAAGAATCTCCAAATGATTCCTCAACTAAGAAATCAGTGCTGCCAGAATTAGCCATTTTAATAACTGCAAGATTTCACAATCTATTCATCATCAACAAATCACAGATTGATATCTATATTATTTTGATTGACTTTTACTTTTTGACTCACCTCTCATTTCTAATCTATGTGAACATGTGCTACATGTATTTTCTTTTCTCATACTTTACTAGTATATTTAATAAATACACCCTGTCAAGAAAGCCTGGTTAAATTTGCTTCTTTTAAAACCTGAATACACTTGGACTGGGAGGAGGTATCCATGAGGGAAGGATCTTCTTAGATGAACTTATTGTGACAAACAAAAGGAGGGTTTGAGTATAGAAAAGAAGCTAGCTCATCCCTCCTCACCTGGGAGAACAAACACTTGATGGTATCCCATCTGGAATCTTCACAAATTAGGATCCCTCACCAAGGGACTCATCGTAATGGCTGTTAAAGAGCTGCTCCCATCACAGCATGAACAGAGGTATTGAAAGATCTTTGTGGCCTTTAGTTTCAATTGAGAAAATTCCTTACCCTATCAGAAGGTGAGGCACATCTGCTTCCATACAGGTTTCTTGCTCTCCGGAAAGAAAAGGCAAGAAAAGTACATGGATTATGAACACTAGATGAATGAATAGAAATGAGAGACATCATCACAGCCTCACAGCCCGTTCTGTGTTTGAACAATGAATCAGAAGGTTAACCTGCAGATGGGTTCTGGCTATTGGTATGACCAGTTTGTACAATATAATTCTTTTAGGTCATTTAACCAGTTTCAACTAAGATAACAAACTGTAAAAGATTTCAACAAAAGTCAATTACTGATTGACGATGAATAGCTTTGAAAGTGAAGTGTGGACACAGCATTTAGTTCCTTTCTTGAGGGAAAATAACCCTAAGCAGAATGAAACTCTATGTTACATTAAAGGAAAATCTGTGGGCATACATATTGCAGGCATATCGCAATTCAAAAAAATGATAAAATGTAACGTATCAACAACAAACATTCAAATGATTTATTTCTACAAGTTTGAGAAAAGGCCTTGCCATATTTTCTATCAACCAGTGCTGGTTCGTGATTCACGATCCTAACCTCGGATCTCTGGGCAACCCTTCATGTGGCTCAGTTAAAACAAAACTACTTGGCACACGCTCCGTCCTATAATCGGAGGAAGAACATTAAGTACAACTGTTCTCAATATATAATCCAGCCACAAATAAAGTTAACAATTTCATGAAATTACATGGCATGCTCAGGTTATGTTTTTGACTTGTGGATGTGGCAGGGTGGAGGGGAGGGGGAGTCAAAGGCACCACGCCTCATATTAAACCATGAGTATAAATGTTGTGTTTACATAGAGTGACTTCCCTGGCACTGATTCCTACCACTGATTACTTGATAGGCAGTGAAAATCAAGTGCAATAATACCTTATCCAAAAAAAAGTCACAAAGAAACAAATTTCATGTTTTAAATACCACAATGAGGTTGTTTTTTCAAAATTCATCAAATGAAATGCCATTATACAGGTTATTGTGTAGATATACTTTCAAATGCATTCTCAAAAGACACACTGCCATTTTATTTGGCACCCAGATTTGAGATTTGAATTTTGGAACAAAAATGAATGCAATTCAGTAAATATCTAGTCAAAATTGACTTCAATTAAAAGTCTTGAATGATGAAAGCTAATTTGAGGAAGTCAACACTTACCTGCATAAAGATTTGGGTCGATATAATCATCCAGTTTCTTATAGTGAATGATGTAGTCAGCTATCTTGGTTCCTATCAGAGGCTGGGCATCCTGCCATTCCAAGCCTATCATTGTACTTGATGGTTCTACACTTGTAGAAAGTCTCAACCTTTGTTATAAAACAAAAAAAAAACAGACATCTATTAAAGATGGAAAGGGCTCTGACTTACATATTTTGTTCTTTGAGGCCTGTTTTCCCAAAAAAATTGGGGACCATATTTAAAAACATTCCAGTCCATTAAGTTAAAATAAATGTCGCCATCAGACTAAAATGAGAATCTAAAAGCACTCACACTTTCAGCAATATGAATAAAACAAAATATTAAAAGATGTTTTAATATTGATAACACAGTATTTAACAAGTCAATCACTTTTGTAAGTTTTGATAATATATTGAACATCTTACATCTGTGTGCACTTGGTGTTTACAAAACAATGCTTCCAGTTGTGATATCCTTATCATGTTTGTATTGGTTTAGAGTCACAGGGAATATATATAATGCATGACTCCTTAAGAATGGAAGACTACGAGTAGGTCATTCAAGTCTTGAGCCTGTTATAAAGTTATAGATTCATAACAGCACAAAAGAAACCATTCAGCCCATCAAGTACTTGTCAGCTCTCTTTACACCAACCAGTTAGTTCCACTCCCCAGCTCTATTCAAAGAGCCCAGCTCTGTCATGTGGCCATCTAATTGCCTTTCAAAATCATTTGGAATCAGTTACTGGCCCAGAAGATAGGTAAAAAGTGAAAGTCAAAGTTGCCCGAGGAAACTGTCTCCTCAGGATGCAAACATATAAAATGATGTGGTCCTCAGAAATAGCCAAGCTCATGGAGCTGGGTTCTTTAAACATGATAATAACTACATTTCCAAAATCTTGAATAAAATAATAAAAGGGAAGTAAGGAAGAAAAATTGTCTGCATTAAAAAATGAGAAGGGTCTACAAGAGAAAGAAGAAGCAAAATAGCGATGCTAAAAAGGACATTAAAACAGGCTCTGCCAACAACACCCAAGTACCATGATCATATTTAAAAATAAGATTTGTGAGGCAATTATAATCAATTGGTACAATGGAATACATCAATATTCTGGGAAAGCTAGAATATGACAAAAGGGTTACATAGTACTCAATTTAAAAAAAAACAGCCACTGGTTTTATTTTCATTCCAAGTAAAATTAGACTTTTGATTATTAAGAGTAAACAAGGAATATTTGTTCATTTGTTATCTAAATGATAGCAGACAGCATGGGCGTACAACAAAAGAGACTTTCTGACCATTTTTTTTGCCTTCTTTGAGGAACTGAAAGCAAAAGTGGGCTGTGGTAAGTCCTAGGAAATGGCATGTCAAAAAACACTTGAGGCTTTTGGTAAAGCTGTACTTATAAAAACATATCTTTGGTAACTTAAAGCAGAAGAAATGTAACGTAAAGGCTGATGTTGGGAGAACAAACTAGTTGAAATGTAGGAAACAATGAGTACCTGTTGTAGAAGTAAGGTGATGAGGGGGTTGGGGCAGTATTTCATAGAATCTCTACAGTGTGGAAACAGGTCCTTTGACCCAACAAGTCCACACCGACCCTCAGACATCCCACCCAGATCCATCCTGCTATAACCTACTCTAATCTAAACATCCCTGAACACTAAGGGCAATTTAGCATGGCCAATCCACCTAACCCACACATCTTTGAACTGTGGGAGGAAACCCACACAGACACGGGGAGAATGTGCACACAGACAGTCACCCGAGGATAGAATCGAGCCTGGGTCCCTGGCGCTGCGAGGTGGCAGTGCTAACCACTGAGCTGCCCATTCCTGCTACCTCTCGCATTATTTGGGACGTAAACTGAAGGAGATTCAGTACTGAATGTGGTGACGCATGACTTAATGGTTGGATTACTGCTGATTTTTTTTTTGTTTATTCTTTTGTACCATGTGGACGTTGCTGTCAAGGTCAACATTTATTGCCCATTGCTAACTATCTTTGAGAATCTGGTTGTTGTTGCTCATCTTGGTGAAGATAAATCTGGTAAATTTGCTGTCACCAACATTTGTCCTGGTAGAATCTGTGCAGCCTTGTTGGTTGAGTGTGGTAGAGGAGAAACACCAGGTAGTCTAGTGAGAAGAGGCTCTTGTCTTAAACAAGATGCAATTTGTTGCATGATGGCAATCAAGATACATTGGCAATGATAAACATTATCACAAAGAATATGAGGGAAATTCAAATGAAAGGTCTTAACCCTTCACGTCCAAATCTGTTCTCCCACCCAAGCCCATCAGAAATCATCACTGTGGGTGACAGTGGATGCTAAAAACACTCCTCAGTACAGTATTCTTGTGGAAAAAGGGTGGCACAGTGGCTCAGTGGTTAGCACTGCTGCCTTGCGGCACCAGGGACCCAGGTTCAATTCCATCCTCAGGCGACTGGCTGCGTGGAGTCTGCACAGGTTTCCTCCAAGTGCTCTGGTTTCCTCCCACAGTCCAAAGATGTGCAGGGTAGGTGGATTGGCCATGCCAAGTTGCCCATAGTGTTCAGGGACGTTTAAGGTTGGGTGGGTTAGACATGAGAAAATGCAGGGGTAGGGGAATGAGTTGGGGTGGGAGGCTCTTTGGAGGATGGTGTGGACTTGTTGGGTTGAATGGTCTGTTCCCACACTGTAGGAATTCTATGATACTAACCCTTTCAGATCCTTATACAATGGTGTTGAGCTTCCTTCTTGAATTATTGCCATCCTTGCAGGCAAGTACACCCACAGTGCTATTAGAAATGGAAGTACTGTATTTGGATCAATGAACATCGAAGGAAGACAATTTAATTCCAATCCAGGAAATGGCGTAAAGGGGAACTTGTAGGTGGTGATGGTTATATGCATTTGCTACCCTTATGAATCTAGGTGGTAGAGGTTTGCAGGTTTGAAAGGTACTATGGAAGGAGATTTGGTGAGTTTCTATAGAGCAGATCATCTGCACTGCTGTTATTTTGCATGATGTTGGGTTGATGAATGTTGAAGATGGTGGATGGGTCTTCAATCAAGTGAATTACTTTGTCCTGAATGTTGACAGCAGGAAATTCACTGATGGTTTTGACCAGTGAATTGTTAGATTTACTCTTGTTGGGAATAGTCATTGCCTGGCACTTGTGAAACAAAATGTTACTCGATGCATATCAGTCCAATTGTAAATTGTCCATGTTTTGCTGCATAGCCTGATTCAGTATCAGAGGAGTTGCAAATGGTGTTGAATTTTGTGCAATCAACAGTAAACATAATCACTTCTGACTTTATAATCGAAGGAACTTCATTGGTGAAGTAGCTGTAGATGGTTTGGCTTAGGACACTTCTCAGAGAAGCTCCAGTCGTGATGTCCTAGGACGAAAACAATTGACTTCCAACAATTGCAACCATTTTCCTTTGTGCTCAGTACAAGTTCAACCAATGAAAAGCTTTTCCTTGATATGCATTGACGACAGTTTTGTCAGAGTTCCTTGCTGTCATACTCTGTCAAATGTTACCTTGATGACAAGGACAGTTAATTTCATCTTGCCTGTTGAATTTTGCACTTTTGTCCATGTTTGGACAAAGTAGTGAGGTTAGGAGCTGCATGATCCTGGCAAAAGCCAAAGTGAGTGTCAGCAAGCAGTTTATTATTGAGTAAGTGCCACATGATGGCATGTTGATGACAGTTTGTTGATAATTAAGAGTGGATTAATGTGTGATAATTGGTCAAGTTGGACTTGTTATTCATTTTGTTCAGAGGATATATCTAGGCTACTTTCCACATTGCTAAATAAATGCCATGAGTGAACCAACTGGCTAGGAGCTCAGATAGGTCTGAAGCATAGGTCTTTATTATTATTGCTAGAATTTTGTCATGGCCAACAGTTTTTATAGAACCCAGTGCCTTTGGCTGCATTGTGATGTTATGTGGAATGGACTATATTGGCTGAAGACTGGTATCGGTGATGTTGGAGACCTCAGGAGTAGGTTAAGGTGGGTCATCATCAGTTTAGGCCCGGTGTTTAGAATAATGAGAGGAGATCTAATTCGGGTATAGAAGATATTCAACAGGATTGAAACAGTAGATGTAAAGCAGATGTTGCCCTTTGTGGGACAATCTAGAATGCAATTTAAGAATGAGGGGTAGCAGACTTTAAAACAGAAGGAATTATTTTGCTCAAAGGGTCATGAATCTGTGGAATTCATTATCTCAGAGTGTGGTGGCTGCTGGGTCACTGAATAAACATGAGGAGGAGGCAGACAGATTTTTAATTAGTAATGGGTAGAAGGGTAATGGAGAGCGGGCAGGAAAGTGAAGTTGAAATCAGCCATGATCGTATTGAATGGTGGAGAAGACTCAAGGGGCTACCTTGCTCCCAGTTCTCATGTTCTTATCCACTCAGCACTTCTGCCTGAAAATTGTTACAAATGTTTCAGCCTTGGGTTTGCAGTGACATGCTCAGACTGCCATTATTGGGGATAGGAAAATAGTGGAGCTTCACCATTCACAGTTTGATGATGCAGGATTGTAGAGCTTTGAGCTAATTATTAAGAACATAAGAACTAGGAGCAGGAGTAGGCCATCTGGCCCCTCGAGCCTGCCCTGCCATTTAATAAGATCATGGCTGATCTTTGAGACTCAGCTCTACTTACCCACCCACTCATCATATCCCTTAATTCCTTTACTGTTCAAAAATTTATCGAGCCTTGCCTTAAACACATTCAGTGAGGTAGCTTCAACCGCTTCACTGGGCAGGGAATTCCACAGATTCACAACCCTTTGGGTGAAGAAGTTCCTCCTGACCTCAGTCCTACATCTGCTTCCCTTTATTTTGAGGCTATGCCCCCTAGTCCTAGTTTCACCTGCTAGCGGAAACAACCTCCCTGCCTCCACTTTATCTATTCCCTTCATAATCTTATATGTTTCTATAAGATCTCCCCTCATTCTTCTGAATTCCAATGAGTATAAGCCCAGTCAACTCAGTCTTTCCTCATAATCCAACCCTCTCAACTCTGGAATCAACTGAGTGAATCTCCTCTGCACCCCCTCTAGTGCTAGTATATCCCTTCTCAAGTAAGGAGACCAAAACTGCACACAGTACTCTAGGAGTGGCCTCACCAGGACCCTATACAGCTGCAGCATAGCCTCCCTGTTTTTAAACTCCATCCCTCGAGCAATGACAGACAAAATTCCATTTGCCTTTTTAATCACCTGCCGCACCTGCAATCTCACCTTCAGCGATTCATGCACCAGGACACCCAAATCCCTTTGCACAGCAGCAATTTTTTACCATTTAAAACATAGTCCATTTTGCTGTTATTCCTACCAAATTGGATGACCTCACACTTATCAACATTGTACTCCATCTGCCAGACCTTTGCCCACTCACTTAGACTATCTATATCCCTCTGCAGACTTTCAGTGTCTTCTGCACACTTTGCTCTACCACTCACAATTCATTGGTTGAAAGCTTACACTTCTGTCTGTCACATTTTACATCCTCCATTTTGCATGTTAATCCTTGTGTAACTTCACCAAATTGACACCTCAGGCAGAATTTTCTTCTTTAACTAATGGTGAGGTCGGAGGTGAGAAGGGACAGTTAATTCAGTGGGATGGTGGCAAACATGCACCTTGCTACTTATCTGTCTCTGCTGCAAATTAGATCTGGTTGGATCATCCGTGGTTGACTTTAGCTGCGAGAGGCCCCTCCATCAAAGGCACTCAGTGCCTGACTGAAGGTTGAGGCATCAGGAAGTAGAGGCAGAGGGGACAGCGGCCTGTTGAGAGCCAACACTCTGTCCATCACGTGTCCTGGGTTGCTCCACAACCCTGGCATTCCTGTGTCTTCTTATCCCTGCAGCACTCACAGCCTCCCTTGTGATGTTGCTGAGCACAGTAGGTGCCCATCTCAGAGGCCGAGACTCAAAAACCCAGGGTTTAGGTCCCAGAGTACACCACGCCAGTAGCCTCACTACTGCCTGACTGGGTTGTGGTTGGGTGGACTTTCCTAAAAAGAGGCAGCATGGATGTCTCACTGGTCATCCAAATGGATATCAAGTCCCTGATACCTCAATAAGGCTCCACCCCTTATCTATAAGTACATCCATTCCTGCTCCTGGGAAGACCATCTGCATGCTTCACTGAACCAGAGTTGATTATCCAGCTTGACCAAGCAATATGCAGGGTCTTGAGGTTCGATCCTTGGTTGAATATATTACTGCTGCTCCTGCTGATAGCCCACCATGCCTCATGGATGTCCAGATTTGAGTTGCTAGATTTATCTGAAATTGCCCTCAATTTGCGCAATGGTGGCATTACACACTATGATGGAGTGGGAGCACGGGATGGCCTAGATTATTCTGTGGAGAGCAAACATGAATTCAATGGGCTGAATAGCCTCCTGCTGCATCATAAATGATGCAGCAAGAAGATATCAGTAACTTTAACCTGCAATGTTATGTTAGATTACATCACAGAGTTAAATAAAGAAATACAGACTAAAATTAGAAAAAAAAAGTAATTTAAGGAGTGATATCAAGACGTCATCTTGCATGAAAGGCATCGACTTGAATTTATGCAATGGCTGCACTGCAGAGGTTGTTGTTTGAAATATCTTAAAGTCTGCAGGACACCATTCAAGAACACCATTCAAATATCATTTGAGCATCATGTTGAGTCATATAAAAAGAAAACACAGTTTAGTTAACTCTTGGCCTCTAAACTAAAGAAAGTTAACAACAATGGCTTGCATTTACATCGGGCCTTCAGCCTAGCAAATGCCGCAAGACACTTAACAGGTGTGCTCTAAAGCTGAATGTTACAACATTCTATATATAGACATTAGGGCAGATAGTCAAAAATATATCAGATTTAAGTTGTGCCTTAAGGGGAGAAAGTGGGGTGGAGAGGTTTAGGGATTCTATTCCAGAGTTTAGGAGCTTGGCAGTTGAAGGTATGGTCAACAACGCTGGAGATTTATTCAAGCAAAGGTGCTGAAAAGGCAAGAATTAAATGAGCAGAGATACGGGATTGGGAGGGACAGCGGTGGGGGGTGGAAGTGGTGGGGTTTGGTGGTGGGGGGCGGGGGTGGGGCAGGGGATTGGTGGTGAGGCCAGCAACAGATCTGGGAACAAAATGAGGATTTTGAAATTGAGGGGTTTGCTTGGCCAGGAACAAGCATAGGTCAGTAAAAGTGTAGGGGCAATGGGTGAATGGGACATCTCGGATAAGACTTTAATTTAGACAAACAAATGTACTGGCATTAAATTAAAATTAGGTCTACAGAATCACAGAATCATTGCAAAAAAACTGAAATTATGTTCGGTCTCGTACTGTCCCCTTCCAATTCCTCATAGAGCTGTAATTTTTTTTATCTCTTCAGATGCTTATCCTATTCTCTTATAAAAGCCGTGATTGAATTTACCTTCCTTTCAGGCATTCTGGATCGTAACCACTCCATAAGACATAAGAGCTGCAGTAGGCCTTTCAGTCCATCAAGTCTGCTCTATCACTCAACGAGATCATGACTGACTTGATCATCCTCAGCTCCACTTTCTTTCCTTTTCTCCATAACCCTTCATGCCCTCACTGATTAAAAAGCTCTCTGTCTCAGCCTTGAAAATACTTAACGAACCAACCTCTATAGCCCTCTAAGGTAAAAGAATTCCACAGATTTATTAACTTCTGATAGAATAAATTCCTCCTCATCTCAGTCTTAAATGGGTGAACCCTTAGTCTGAGTTAATGCTATCTGGTCCTAGACTTACTGCACTGAAATCTTTTACCTTATGCCATTCATTTGTGGTTCTTTTGTCAATCACTTGATGCAAGCAATGACTCAGGCAGCAGAGGTTTGGATGACCTTAAGTTTCCACAGGGTGGAATGTGGGAAGCCAGCCACTAGTATTGGAATAATCAAGGCTACAGGGAACAAAGGAATAGCTGAGGGTTTCATCAACAGATGAGTTGAGGAAGTGAGGATGGGGTGGGGGTGTGGGCACTGTAGTGGAATGATGTCCTGTAAGTGGAAATAGGCAGTCTAAACATTGGATTGGATACGCGGTTAAAAGTTCAACTCAGGGTCAAATACAACACCCCCAGGTTATAAGCAGCCCCAGACAGTTGTCAGGGAAAGAATTAGCTTTAGAAACTAGAGAATGGAACTGGAAGAGAGCAGCTTTGGTCTCCCCAATAATTAATTAAAGAAAATTTCTGCTCACCCAGTTCTGGAAGGCTAAAAACATATTTTGATTTATTGTTGGGTAAATAAAAAATGCCCTCTCCTGCTAAATGCTTAAGTTGTGGTCATGGTGAAGAACAAAGAATGCATTAGATGCTTTAAGTCAAAGGACATTACTAAAAATATCAGGGTTACTTCATAAAATGTGCATTTAAATCAATATTACACTTGATTTCACTGACGCATTTCGTCTCCACAGTTCGCAACACCTGTGCCAAAGAGCTCAGACTGTGGTGTTATCTCTTGAAACTTTAAACCACTGGGATTTCCAACATCAGGAGTCTCTAAAACCTTATACAAAGGTGATTAAAAGGTGATTAGGATACGTACACAGGCTGAGGTAATGGGCTGCAGCTTGGGAGTCCATCCTCATCAAATGCACTCAAGTCACATCTGCACCAGTCATCAATGACATCACCCTTCCCCAAACACCAATAGGAGCTCATTAGCGCAGTCTTGAAGCTCTGCAAAACAATCAGAATAAGTGGGTGGCAAAAGCATTAAACCTCCACTTAGCAAGTTCCCTGGCTCATTTCCTGCATTGTAACATCACTGCAGAAAGGCAACATAGATTCAAAAAAATCTCTACACAGAATCAATGGTCCATCTCACATTGTCTGTATTTCAAAGTCACAATTAACATTAAAGACAAACAACACCCCAGCATATTTGAAATTGTTCACTTCCAATTTTTCTTCTTTTTTGTCCTCTATTCCTTGGTTAACCCATATTTTTCGAGCTAGAAAAACATTGCATGACAACAAGTAATCTAACAGAATCAAAACATAGTTCATTCAAATAGGTTGGTGTCACGTTACCTCAGAATAAAAGAACACATGCTGATTTAATTATTTGTGCACTCACTTTTGGGTAAACAGAGAGAAAAAAATGAAGGGCAAAAAAATCGTAACAAACAGTCCTGCACATTTTTTTTAACAAATTAAGAATGTAAAGCTGTTGCACAAACACAGACATTTATTTACTGGTTGTATGTTTAAGTAAAATTCAGAAATAGGTGGTCTGTAACACTTTTGCCCTGACCAGTCTAAGTAGCATTTTCAAAAGCAATCTGTTTTCAATGAAAACATTTGTTCACATGATAGGGTTAACACACCATTTCTGTGAGTAATACTGCTTGAAAAACTTTCACTGTAATGTTATGAGTTGGTGAATACAGTGTTGACTGTATTGCAAAGCAGAACAGCAGTGTGCAGAGACTCATCTGAAACAACTACACTTGAAGATAATCGACACTCAATTAAGTATGTTTTATTTCTCCCTATGTCCTGTGACTGGGGTCTCTTTCAGACATTAAGGTACAGTATGCTCAAAGATATTGAAAATCTCCAAAACAAATGGCAAAAGGGCTGCAGAAACATTCAAACAAATATGCTTTTTCTATTTTGCACATTTATTTCAAAACTAGTACGACTGAGTGAGGACAATAGAAACAGTACCAGTAATGAGCACAAAGAATCTTCCACAACAACATGGGCAGATTTAAAAATAGGCAAATGTTGCTGAAGAAGAGGCATAATTGTACCACAGTTATAAATAGGCAGATAGCTGGCAGAGGTGAGCTACACATTCATGGTATCGCAAAGCTACTGTTGGCTGTTTTTCTCATGGTATTGACTAAAGGCTGAAGTTTAAAAGTTGCCATCCGGTACTTTGGGAAATTTTAAATTATCTCAAGCAGTTCATCATTGTAATAAGTTATGCATAACTAATAACTGCAAGATTACCTACTTAAGTGGTTTGGAATCCCATATCACTTTGAAATGAATATCTCTACAATTGTAGTTACACAGTTGATGTGACTGCACTGTATCCAAGGAAATTGTGGCATACAACTGGATGATTAGATTGGCAGACAAAGAGAACAGTAATATATTCCATAATATTGATCAACACACTGGTGAGGAAATGAGTTTATACACCGAAAAACAAGTACTGGTATGTACACATCTTTTAGACAAAACTTCTGTTTAGAATTGAACAATAATTATGATTCATTTGGCTATCCCAAATGATCAAACATGCAGAAAAACTAAATCGCTGAGTAGAAGAGATAACAAGGTGTAGAGCTGGATGAACACAG